GCCGGAATGATCGCCACCTGCCTGCGCTCCACCCATCGACAACGATCCAGCGTAAATATTCCGAACCTTGACTCGCAGAGAAACTCGTTCGAATCGTGAGAAAGAGCCACTCATCGGAAATAACTCGGAGATAATCGAGCGAAACGATCGACGTTTCCAATCGAATGTTATTCGCGTTTTTCGTTTACTGTCTCCAGGTAGCCTTATACGTATACCGCGCACACGTGTATTCTATCTCTAAGGTGGAACGTTCTTTCGCGTAGGTAGTCTAATAGTAAGTGTCCGAACAACGTAACGACGAATATAAGATTCGAATAACGCGTACAAGTGGCCATTGGATGATTCGTCGTTGGAGTTCGTTCGTCTCGGAGTTAGTTCTCGAAAGAGTCGTGTTTGAAAATGAATGAAGCGTTCTTGAACGTAACTAATTCTGCACTGGACAGCACGAAGTAATCAACGATCCCAAATCTAAATTCGGGACTGATCGGACCTGATCCCCCGATCGAAAAGGATCGTTTGCTTCGAGAGGCAAGAGGCGATCTATCGGTGGGGAACTCGTGTTATCGATTCGCGTATTCTAAATTCAGGCTAATTGGCAATGAAACGATAAAATCGCATCCCATCGGGTAAGGAATACCTCTGCGACGAAAGCTCTGTAGGAAATTAACCGTTCGACCGATCATAGAACAAGGCGCGTTCGATATTGCCCATTAGTACGATTTTTATCTATTTTCTCTCGTTGTTATCCATACAAAGTTTGAATTGGATTTTCAAGAACGTATACCGATCCAGGGACGAAAGACGTATCATGTACATATACATATAAGTACGTATGTATATACGTACGTGAAAATCCATATGCGTTGGTCGTTCGCGCAATTACGCGCTTTTGTGATTCGAGTCAACGATACGGATTCGCAACAGGCGTAAAACGTGACTATCGACTGAGGGAATCAAGGGAGGAGGAAGACAAAACGAAACAGGACTGCGAGCGCATGCTTCGCGAACACGCGCATACATACAGCCACGAATAGACGGAGGGGGGATAAGAGAAAGAGAGAAAGAGGGATGAGCAAGGGGTAGGGAAGAGCAAGGACATATGGCAAAGCTTTAATAATTGAAGCTGACACTGGCGCAGATGGGAACGCAGCCGCACGGTCCGCCCATCAAATATTTAGAGATTATAAAGTACGCATACACGTACACACACATAAGCACCACACATGCTAGCACGACGTCGTTTATATGTTTCCTCGTAAACGCGTGTCCGCGTACGTACATCGCGAAACGAATAATCGCGAAAGTCGTCGAAACGAGTACGTAAGCCGGTAAAGCTATTGAAATACGGACTTTCGATTTGCGATCGTTGCTTCATCGCGACGATTAAGCAGTAAGATTTATATCGTGTATTAGCGGTTAAGATGGAAGGAGTAAGCAAAGAAGAAGATAACGGAACAAGGTGTGGAAGAAATAACAAAGATTGGAAGATCCGATTAGAAGGCTGACGGAAATGATAGTTTTAGAAAAGAACTTCTAGCGTAGACTCTTAGTGCGTAGTATAGTAACCGGGTTAACGATAGCGTACGAATAAAGCGTAAAAAGGATAAGCGAGAAGATCGGACGTGGAAGCGTGCGGTTGGAAAAATTGCAACCAGGTCGTATTCCTCGGCCGCGAGGACAAAATCAAATAAATTAGTATCGTTATTATTACTATGTATTAGCGTGCGACTGACAGTCGAGAAGCAAGAGCAACGGCAGGTGCATGCGCCGCTACTTACGACAGTGGGGATACTGACAAATCGCAACTCGCCCTCGGAAAAGAGAAGACCGTTGCCAAACTTGCCCGACAGGTTACTACCGCATACACGCGCGAAACGCCACCGTCGATCGCTTCTAAGGATCGCGTCAGCTCCACGGTGTTCGTCTTCCAATTCTTTCGAGCGATATACCCTCGTTCGCATCTCGCGATCGCATTCTTCCGACGAATACGTCGGACGACAGGGACAGGACGAAGAGTAGAAACAGAAGGAGAAGAAGAATTCGAACGATTGGAAAATAAGGGAAAGAGAGAAAGGATGAAACGTCGTTGCCGATGGTTCCTGACAGATTCGGTAGGGCAGATCGGACGATAGAACTCGGTCGAAAACGCTCGTCTCGCGAGGACGGCGGTCGGTGCCCTTGGGAATTTCCTTGGCCTTTTTCGTCACATCTGGTAGACACACGTATCCCGACAAATCGGATGGTCCGCCAGTTTCGTCGTCCTCTCTCTCTTTAATACCCTTAAGGCACCCCTATCCGCGCATATGTTTCGCAGATACCATACGAGCACGTTCGCACCAGGGGTTCCCTCGGTCCTTTTTCTCAAGACTCAACCTTTTCATGAAATCGTACCTACGTGAAAGCCTTCGAAACTTGTGTGCCAACACGTGCTTACGAATCTGCCGAATCCGAATTTACGCAGCAAGCGATCGTTGAATCGAACGGCCAATTTTATAACGATGCAACCGTAATCAAAGATGACTCGCACTGTGGATTTTCACGCGACGCGGCGAATCGTTTGTATATCTTCTTAACGCTAGCGCATTGTTCCGAACAATTTTGACGTAATTGCATTTTTCTAACGTTAGAAGTGTCTCTTATCGGTGCGCGTCATTTTTTTCCTCGATCTCGCGTTAAACGTTTCTTTAGAGCATTGTAACTCTTTTCGTTCGCGCGAAATGAAAATTCGAAGCACAAAAATTCGAGAATCGCAACGGGATCAAGGATGATCTGCGCGGGATGCCAAATCTCGAAAGCGACGGAAGTCGTCGCACGATCGACGATCGCTCGTCGTGAAAACGATATCATGGAGTAACGAGTGATTCGCGATAGAATGCGATTACCGATTTACTCGGATCCGTTCGAGAACAGTTGCAACGCGTGATAGCGGCTACGGTATCTCTCGATTGGCACGCGTTATCAGGAGTAT